TGCCACTGTGATGATTTCAGTTGCAAATATAGAAAACAGTTTGCTGCTGTTTTGGAGTTAAAAGATTCATTGTGTTTTTGCAGCCAATTTCCAGTCAGTTTCCCTTCATTTAAATGCTAATGATCCTCCCGTGCCAACTAAAACATAGCTAACAGAAAGTGTCCATCTCAGTTCACACTACTGCTGCCTGAAAGTCGCGCGACTTGCAGTGTGACTGCTAGGCCACTTGAATGCTACTTTGAAGCATCTCTGAAGCAACTTTCAGGGAATGCCTGGTTTATCTTCCTGTAATGATCCAAATCACATCAATATAAATGAGGACCTGATTTGGAGGCGACTTTTATTAAAGTCTATGGGCACACGTTGGACAGAAGTTGCCTTGAAGTAGTACAGGAACCTTTTCTAAAGTCGGAGCGACTTCAGTAGTGCTAATTAAGACGGCTCTTATTGACTAACATGGGATTTCACATGTCATGCGACTTGGGGTCTCACAAATCTGATCCCAAGTTGCGGCAGTGTGAACTGAGCCTTAGGGGAAGGGATTACTGATGTGACAGGATGCAGACACAGTCAGGTGAGATTGTAGCTGGGAAGGAGACTAAGCCGACATGGTATAGATAACACAGCTGGAGGTTTGGAAGGGAGAGCAGCCATGTTGTTTGCTCTGACAAAGAATAAACTTCATTGTGACCATCCCATACAGTAATCAGTGCTCCTGTACATGGGTGTCCTGAGCCCATGCAATGTATATTCTGGTGTATGTACCTGACTTAGGTGCTGCATACAGCCTCCCATAGACATTAAAGGCTGTACATGGCGTATTTCCATGTGTACTTGGGTATATGCCAGTAGACACGTAAACCCTTGTTTAGTGTATAGGCATATTTTATTTTCTACACTTTGATATAAGCTGGTACTCGCATAAACATTTATATAGCATATGGGTGTATTCAAGTACAGCCATGCACAGTCATTCATGTCTATGGGTTGCAGTACACGGTAAGAGAAATATGCCAGAATTGACACTGCACTGGTTCAGGGCACCCATGTGCAAGAGCCTATAGAGCAGTCCTCAGAGTGAACTAGGAACAATACTAACTGACAAGACTGGCTCACCAGCACAGAAAGTTATTAGCTTACAAGATTTCTAGCAGGATCTTTTGTACTTAACAAAACACTTGGCATGGCATATTCAATAGACAAAGAAGAGCAAATAAGTGAACCTCATTAATAAGGTTTACATACAGTTTAGACTGCATGCACACTGGATGTTTTGCCCCTGGCTTCTAGCTGTGGGTGGAGGGCATAGGTGTCCCATCTGCTGGCAGCTTGTAAAACTCTATGAGAGGCTGACACCTGCTGTGGCTGGTCAGGGCTGGATGGGGCATCTAGTAGTAAGAACATTTAGGGCAGTATGTGTCCAGGAACAAATGCCTGGAAAAGTCCCTGGTTGCATATTGCTTTAATTGTTCGTCCGCTAGGCGCACCCCATCTTGCGCCATACAGCAGCAGTTACCGGCCTCTCATAGAGTTTGACAGGCTGTTGGCAGAGGAGCTGGATGGGACATCTGTACCCTCTGCCCGTATCTAAATGCCAGAGCCCCATGCACCGGGGCTAAAGCCCAGCATGCATGGGACCTTAAAGTGCTAAAGGTTGTGTTCCAACAATCTCCAGTGACAAAAATCAGGCCCTGCTGCAAGCACATTAGAGTAAACTTTTCCATTTCACAAGCATGTAAACATAACAATATCCATTGAATCTGCTTTAACAAATGCACTCCTTATGTCCTCAACACACACAGCCAAATAAGACCAAACCATACTGTTACTGGTATACAAATATTGACTTTAGCTAAATCATTAGCTACACCCTCATATTCTTTTCTAACCACTCCCTCTGGCTGCTAATGTAGATATTAATGACACATCGCTGTCACGGGAAGGGCAGCAGTGTCTTTCATGTGTAGCCTGTGATTGACAAGGCTAGCTTCACCTTCCCTATACTATGCAGGGAGCAAGATGGTGGTGCCCAACAGGAGTTAGTTAGAAGATGAATAGTTTATACTGGGACAGTGTCAGCAAGACTGGAAAAGGAAAGGGTCATTGTAAATCTGAAATCTATTATAGTCTATTTATGCTGTCATAAAAACAAAGCCCACCATTCTCCAGATAGACTCCGGAACTTACTAAATTATACTAAAAGCAAAGATATTCTAATAAACAAAAACTGAAGTAATCTATCAAGTACTGCATTTAATTACAAATATTTGCTCTGAAATTTAGGCTGCGGCTCCCTCGCAAAGGGAATTCTAACATGTTCTACATTTGTATCTGTCTGTCATCTGCTTGCTTACCTTAATGAACTTTTAATTGCAGAAGGGAGACAAGGGAGCACATGTCAAGTTCATGGCATTAATATGTACCACAGAAGACTAGACTGGAATGCCTATGTGCTTTGCCAAATCTTGCCATTTTGACAGCTTCTCAGCAGTATGAAACAGTAACTATTTTATCAACGTATTAAAGTGTAATTCTGATGTTTCGATGAGATAGTGGTGAAGAATTAGGACTGTTCTCAAGTTCCTATTGCCATTTGTGTCCACACTTAAGGGATTTATCTTCACTTGCTATCCTGACAAAGACAATTTGAGGAAATCTCACAAAGACAGTGATCACCAGAAAGTGAGATGTTCTTTCATGTTTTTCTAAGTTTGTGAAGGAACACTGGGCAGACAGTGAGATGAACTCTCCCAGGAGAAACAAAGACAACAAATAAAAATGGAGAAAAAACATTCTCTTCTCAGTCCCAAAACTTTTTGCAAAGAGTTCCACCTTATCTATTACCTTCCTTTCATTCTAAGATAAAAGTAAAACAATACTGTAATGGACCCCAGACACCCACGACTGGGTATCTCCGTCAAGAAGCTGCTTCTCAGGCTTTGGAACACGAGACCAGTGAATCTGGCTATTGTAATCCTAAGATCCAGACGACACCAGATTTGAAGTAAACCAGAGGTAGACTACTTTATTTGAACACAGATACAAGATATATACACTCAGGGGACAATCCCCCCTCCCTACATAATGGCACAGGATGGGGCAATCTACATTTAGTAACAAGAGACACACAGGTATTCAAACTTCACACCAGCAGACAGTCCCAGCAGGAGGGAAGGCTGCTGGAGACCCCCCCCCCCCCCCCCACTAAGCTAATTCACATAAACGCACACATCCCATAATAGTTTGCTCCCAAACAAGACAAACAATAGAACAATGGGATGCAGCCACATAGCATTAAACAATCAACAACCTCCACCCCACCTATCTCCTAAACATGTCTACACAGTCTGAGACAAAGCCCACACAATATTAGGACAGGTCACCTTGTACCCCTAACAGGCACAGGGTGATTTACACATAAGAGGGATATGGGGAGCTGAGACAGGGGTCTCCCCACCTCTCCAAAGTGAGCTGGGTTCTATGGGCCCCCCACCCAAAGTAAGTCCCATCACAAATACTTTAAATGGCAAGGCAAGATGTTTGAAGGGTAGGCATTTGGATGACAGGCAATAAGCAATTGAACATGGTTATGAAGCATGCTGCAGACATTCATCGCCTCAGCTTACCAAGGTGCATATAGCAACCCTATAACCTGTTACCCTTCTTATGAAGTTAAAATACCATATGGCCATCTTACCACTAACTCATACGTTTGGATCAGCTGGTTTTGATATTAAGGGCAATGGAAGTTAACAACAGAATCTTTTGCTTCATGATGCATAAAAGCCCCATCATGATACCCAGCCTGAACCAAGTCACTGTATTTTTTCGATTTTTCTCAGTTTGTTACATGCAGGAGGGACAGAAAAGAAAGTATGAACAGGGCAATGTCATGCTAGGATGGTTCACAGAAATAATGGCTATCCTGACGCTGACCCTGTCTCCCATCTTTGTAACTGCAATAGCACACATCCCCTCCTGCATTATAATTTGCTGGAGACAATGTAAATGCTGTGCAAGCCAAGTAAAGGCCAGACAATGTGATGGCACACATCTGCTGCATGTAGATAGGCGTCCCACTGACTTTTCAGCAGGGTAAGCCAGGTCATTTATGAACGTGATTTTTTTTCTTTAAACTGCAGTCATGCTTTATTAAAAAAAAATCCCTCCTTATCTCATAAGGTGTAACACATTTGAGGGTTGCTAATATTAATGCTTCATTAAGGTCAGTAAAGTTTGGTTACATGAATGTGAGCTGCAAAGATTAATATGCTATTTTAAATCTTATATAGATACTAGTGATAAGTCTCATGCATTTGTGGCAAAAAAAGTTCAAAGTAAGTCCAGGAAAAACAAATATATCAGTGGTAATTAACCACTTGCCCTCCTGAGGATTTACCCCCCTTCCTGACCAGGCCATTTTTTGCGTTACAGCGCTGAGGTACTTTAACTGACAATTGTGCGGTCATGCAAGCCTCACCCAGATGAAATTTACGTTCTTTTTTTCCCACAAATCGAACTTTCTTTCGGTGGTATTTGATCGCCTGTGCGGTTTTTATTTTTTGTGCTATAAGCAAAAAAAGACTGCCAATTTTTGAGAAAAAAACAATATTTTGGACTTTTTGCTATTAACCTCCCTAGCGGTCTGATTATGTCAGTATTTCTGTGCTCAAAGAGGTACATTGTTTTCAATGGAAATATGTTGTTTTTTTATTGTAGGCCTGTATTTCTTAGGAATAACTCGCTGAAATCTGTCCGAACGAGAGTCTAGTAAACATCCCGGGTATGAAAAAAAATTTGAAACACGAAATCATAAATTATAATATATTAAATAATCATAAAAAATAATAATATAGTAATAATACATTTAATTCAATAATGTAATCAAACTAAAAACACTGACATTTGAAATAGAGCGCCAAGTTCACACATCACTGAGCTTAGTCGCAAAATCGTTTTCAGTGTCTGATGACAAATTTCCCCACGAATCATTATCACTCAATTCTGCAAGTGGTTCTAATTTACTATCGCTGTTCTCTAGCTGGTCTAAAACCACTTTTGACCTAAAAAGACGCTTTTTGGACGCCATGAACGTTTCTCAGTTTCCAGGCAGAAAGAACAGTAAAAATGCAGGCAGGGCACAGGACAAAGCACTCGGGACAAAATGTATGTGAAATGGTATGATACAGTAATGTTATACTATCAGATTTTAGAGTATTGAATGAATGTCAAATTTTTACATTTTTAAAATTCCCGCCGGTTCCATCCCCCGTACGTCCCGACGCTCGCAGGGAATGGAACCCGGAAGACGAATACCAGCATCGGCCAGAGAACATGGCTGGGGATGCTGCAGAGAGGACATCGTGGGACCACAGGACAAGGTAAGTGCTGGAGGGATCCAAGAGCAATGCTGCAGTGTAATCCCGAGTGTAGTTTGGGGTTACAGCTTCTGGTATTGAAAGTTAACCCCGAGTTATACTCGGGAATACTGCTAGGGAGGTTAAACATGGCCAGTAAAAAAATTGTAAAAATCAAATTTCGTCATAAATTTAGGCCAAAATGTATTCTGCTACATGTCTTTGCTGAAAAAAAAATCAAAATACGTGTAAATGAATTGGTTTACGTGAAAGTTATAGTGTTTACAAATGGCGGTATAGACACTGGGGCTTTTCTTTTCACGCAATCAGCGACTTTTAGCAGGACTGCGGGACTGTGGGGGGGCATTCTGACATTGAGGGGGAACTAACTTGATGTCACTGACATTCCCAGTGACACTAATACAGTGATCAGTGCTAAAAAAGAGCACTGACACTGTACTAATGACACTGGGAAGGAAGGGGTTAATGTGAGGGGCGATCAAAGGGTTAACTATGTGTAGGGAGTGTTTTACTAGGGGATGAGGGGTGTGTGCTTCAATGTAAGCACGCTGATCAGGATGGCTGACAGGGAGGAAGACTGTTTGTAATCAAAACAGTCTTCCTCCCCGTTGGTGATTGTCGATAATCACCGGCCAAGACCGGGTGATAGACATCCGCGGATGCGAAAGGCGGCGCGGGTAGGGTACGCACAGCTCAAAATCATGTATATATATGGGGGTACCCCTAAAGAGCAGAGCATTTGTCTGCGTGTCAGGAATGAGCGCAATTGCGCATGCATTCCGCGACACACAGTAAAGTGAACCAAGCCTTGGACAGGGGTGCCTTGTGACTGAAAATAATTTTCAAGGGCGCCCCGACTGGAACAAAGTTGAGAAACACTGGTCTAAACAGTTCAGACATGCATGAATTGACAAATAATACTTAATGAAACCAATATTAACACAACACATAAATTAATATAAATAGTATCAATAAAATAATATTAATAAAAATGTCGGTGAAAAAGTGCTTAAAAAATATATCATCAGTGAAACACACAGTATATGTAAAAATAAGTCCACTGTCCCAAATCAATGGTGAAGAAAAAGTGCTCCAATCAAAGAAACGGTGCCAAAGGAAATCCAACGTGTCCACACCATCCGTGACTTCCAGTATGGTCCACACTCACCAAATTAAATGGACTCCTAGCTGACAAGGCTTAAGAGTCAAACAAGCTTTTGAGGTAAGATGTATCCTCCAAAATGAAACCCAAGCAAGGAAAAAGATTCTGGGCAGAGGCAACCAGCATAGGGCTGTATCGGCGGATGACTACAACAGGTGCAGAATCAGGACTGTAATAATAGTTCTGGAACCAAAAGTAACAACTGAGTAAGCAGTATAGAATTAGGCACAAATTGTGTGAAATAAACCTGCGCCTAAAACCAGTCAATTAATTAATGCTGCTGCTCATAAATGAAAACCATCAAAACATAAAAATAATACTACAGCACAAAATTAAAACAAATAATAAAATACCAACAGTGATAAAATATATGTGTATGAAAATACTAAAGTCCACTGTCCCAAATAAACTTGAAAAAAGTGCTCCAATCAAAGAAATAGTGTCAAAAGAAATTCAACATGCCCATACCATCTGTGACTTCCGGTATGATCCACACTCACCAAATTTAATGGACTCCTAGCTTTACTGGCTTAAGAGTCAAACAAGCTTTTAGGTGAGATGTGATCTCCAGAGTGAATCCCAATCAAAGAAAAAAACTCTTGCTTGACAATCTCCAAGCGACCACCCACAGGGTAGATGAAATGCAAAGAGACAATAGGGACACTAATAGTGTAATACTGCAAAACTCTTTAATATATTAAAACCAATGCATTATATGCACTCACATTAGACAAGTTAAAAACAAGCCTCCTTAATGCAAACTTTCCCCATCAGAAAAGCTTTAAGATCACATCAATCATGGCTCCCACATCAAGTGAACTGGCAGCAGTGCGATGAGAGGTGAACTGATGAGTATGAGACCTAGCCAAGTTTATACAAAGTTCATTAAGGTAAAGCAGGCCGACTGAGTTGATTCCCATGATTAAAGTGGAAGTATAGCCAAAAACTAACTAATGCTAAACCTACTTCTACCCCCATTCTAAGCCTCTCTAACCCTGTAAAGAAAAGATCTGTATGCTTACCTATTCTAAAGCCGCTCCGGTCCATTCCAGTCACATGATCTCTCCAGCGGCGGCTTCTGTGTAGAGGAGAGATAGCTGATAACAGCTGCAAATGCCTGGGCGAAGAAATCACTCATAGGCTTACTATGGGGCGTGTGTTGTCAGCTGTCCCTCCTCTACACTGAAGCCACCGCTGACAGCTGATCATGTAATCGGACCAGAGCAACTTCAGAGATGGAAAGCATACAGATTTTTTCTTTACCGGGTTAGATAGAATAGGCTTAGGATGAGGGTGGGAGTAGCTTTAGCCTTAGAATTTGACTAAACCTTCACTGTAAGTGACAAAACCTAGATCACATTGTGGTAAGCCACTGAGATCAGCAAATGGGAGTGGCCTTTACTGCTTGGATATCTCAGTGAAATTGTCTCAATTGATCCTGCTTCAAAAGTACTGGACAAGCATATTGAATGTTCAAAGCCTAAGGCTGGCTGTAGAGCGATTTTTTTTCATTCTGCCAGCAGGAGGAACAAAAAATACTAAAGGATTCCTCCACACTGGAGGTGGATGGAGGAATCCTTCCTGCTGAGACATTTTATTCTGACAGTGGGGACTCTCCATTGTCAGAATATACTGATCAGCATCCATGCTCATTGGCTTCAGCTATTGATCAGGAAATATTTTCCAACAAGCCCATTTGACAGAAATTGAGCAGGAAAATAGCTGGCCCTAGCTGAAATGGCTGGATTTCCATCAATTTATGGCCAGCTTAAATCCATCTTTATTTTTATTTTTTATTATTATTATTATTATTATTATAGAGTGGGGAACAGTTTTTGGGGAGATACTCTCTCATTTTGTGTTCTGATGTCTGTGCAAGAAATGGGGTTGTTATTGTAAGACTTCATGTACACGAGCAGCTCCTAAACTTGAGTTTAGGAACTTTTGACATTTTTTTTGCCAAAGCTCCTAAACTCAACTCCATAAAAGCCTATTCGTCCATATACACATAAGCTTTTAGCAGAGTTTAGGAGCTGCTGCGTTTAGGTGAGGTTAAACCTCCCTCTCCTGAACACAGAAGAACCGCGTTCAGGATAGGAACGTTTTGACCGCTGACAGCGAGAAAGCACAAAATGTGGCAAAACTACGGCAAAATCACGGTACCGCGGTTGCCACATTTTGCATTTTGTCGCAGACGGGGGTCAGGGTAGGCTCGTGTACATGGAGCCTAACAGGGATGCCAAAAAAATAAATTCTTATCCTTCCCCATTCTTTTAGGAATGTTTTTTTTTATCTTTGTCCCCATTGGAAAAACTTTCAGTCTTCACAGGACAACAGACAGGCAGAGGGTCTAAATCTTCCCAATGTATTTAACAAAATAAAAATGTTTTGGCTGCAATTGGCTTTAAAGGGAAATGTGTAATGATAAATAAAGCATTGCACATTAATGCCGAAACTCCATGCAAAACTTTTTGATTTAGTACTGGATACAGCAGGAAAGGATTAGGACTTCTTTCAAATCATAAATGCTGCTGGTGTCCCTGTTAAGGAGATTTTTCACCACTTCCGACTGTGTCTGATATCCATCACTGAGACAGAAAGTAAGGGGAAATTTCCACAATGAGGACACAAACAACAACAAACTTGATAGGGGATCTAACCCTTTGATTTACTTAAATTCAAATAGGTTTTTTATTGCTATCTGCGTCTCTGTTAAAGAAATTTACCCCCCCTGTCTGTTTGATTACCTTCAAATAGCCAGAAGCACATGGAGATCTTACCAATGAGGGCAAAGACAGAAATCTCTAGAAGACGTCTTTTGATGACGAAACGCGTTGGGTGGAACCGCCCTCTGACATTATCGCGCTGTCAGCCATCTTGGAAACGTTTTTTTTAATGCTTTAAAGTACCATAGAGTTTGTAAGTAGGATTTTTATTTGCACAAATGAAGGATTGTTAAACTTACTGCAGTATGAGAGGCATGTTTTTTTTTTTTATGATACTATTTGGCATCGTTTTGGAGTTCACATTTTTGTCTAAGAGGTTTGGAACACTTCTGATCCGGGCATGGCATGGAAAACTGGATGATATCCTGTACTTCAATGCTGGTTGAGAGCCCCTATAATTAAGGGGTCTCTGTTTCTGGTAAGCCTCCATCTATTTCATTTGGTGGTGGTGCACGTGGTGGTGAACATCTGGAGAAACAGAACTCACGATATTAAAACTATATTCATAGTGTTGAAATATGGCTTCACCACTGACTGCGGAGCTTTATATTCATACGGACTTTATTTTGTGTTTGCATTACATGTTACTGTTTATTTGTTTTTTACTGATTTGATCACTTTTCATAGATATGAGTGACTTCATTGTGAACGTGTACGATAAGTGAAGTTTGTATACTATATACCACTATTTATTTATTTATTTATTTATTTATTTGTTTTCACTGATTTGATCGCTTTCATAGGTGTGAGTGACTTCATAGTGTACATGCACAATAAGTGAAGTTTATTGTTGTTCGTAGCGCAATATTTTATTTTACACAGAAATAAAGAGTTGACAATCTAAACTTTTCCCACACTGTCAAAAGCTAAAGAAATGAGAGCACACCTCAACAGAGCAGTGAGTGGGTAGACTATTCTTTCTCAATATTTATCAGTGGACCAGATGATATCAGCTTCTTATCAACCACTTGTATAACAGTCTGTATATACTCATTACCAGGCAATTTTTCAGTTTTCAGCAATGCAATAGTTTGACCGACAAATACTTGGTCACACAGTACTGTACCCAAATTAATTTTATACCATTTTTTGAGAC